GGCTTCTATGTGGTAATTGCATCAGATGAATGGTTTGTATTTGCACAACTTTTTAATGGTTCCAGTTCTTACCAGTATTATGTTTCTGATATTCTTGTTATTATGTCTAAAGCAAAGGTACTACTGTGTGGATAAAAGGACCCTTTGATGGATCCATGTTATATTTCTAGTTCCCTTAGAGACTTTGTGGGCCTCTAGCAAGTCAATTTACTTTCTCATCTATAAGGAAAGGTGGTAATAGCACAGTAGCTCCCAAAGGTGTTCCGTGTTGCCCTAACTTCTGAATAGAAAGTGCTTCATAAATATTAACATCACCCAGTGAAAATGTATAAAGTATCAGAACACAATGATGTAACTGGATCTTATTCAGGATCTGGATGATCAGCTAGCCCTACTCCTGCAGAAAGCCCAGCAGTCACCAGGAATGGGCCAAAGAGCCCACTCCTGGCAGCAGGTCTGCACACAGGGTCCTGAGCCCCAGAGGGTGGGAGCGATGCCTTTCTTGCCCAAGGCAGAGGTGCTCAAGGGGCAGGTGCACAACAGCCAGGATGAATGTGGATGTTCTGAAGAGAACAAGGAGGTCATTACTGCTTTTTATGAGACACAGAAGAGCCGGGGTTTTGCTGTTGACTGAACAGAATCACCTTCTTGCTACACTAGGCTGAAAAAGAGAAGGATTAAGGAGTTTAACAGAAGGCTGGGTATTCATTGTGCTGGCTGTTCTCAGACGGATTTCATTAACTGACCACTAAGTAAAAAGCCAAAATTTGGTCCCCCAGCCTCAGCAAGATGATATGAATAAACAACAAAGCTGAAGAATTACTAGTATTTCAACAGAGACATAACACTGATATGAAACCCCCACTTGAAGTGTGGTGGCTAATAGTAGATAATTATTGGCCAGAGGTTTTCATGCTTGCCTTCAGACTGACAGCTTGAAGCCAAGGTTCACTTTCTCTTTCTCAGTGCTAGCAACCACATCGCAAACAATTAAAATTCATCTCTTGATCTAGCTAAAAACAATAACATAGATATGTGCTATATATTAAATGTAGATATTTTGCTGAAAAGAGGTATTTAAATATTTATAAATATACAGAATTTATCTTTTTTTTGCTTTTTGTGGTTCCTTTTGAATCCTACTCTTTTCTGACCACTCTGATTGTGTTCAGTGCTAACATGGGAGTGCCAGCTCACCACAGACCAAAGCAAGGTGATTATTTTACAAGAGGAAAAAATACTCAGTTCTTAAAAGAAACAGGGGTACTTCTGACCTCATGTAAAGCATACAAGAGAAACTGAATTTCCTGTCATTCTGCAAGGACAGCATGTGCTGCCAACAACATATTCATCATTGATGTGTCATCTTGATAATTATCCTCATTGTCAGTGGCATAGACTTGAGGGCACAGTCTTTATTTTACACAGCTCCAATTGATAACTAATTAGTTATGAACAGTAGAACATTCCCCATAAAATTTAAATTAAGCAAAACTACCTCAATAGGAACAGCAATGCACATACACACCAGGTCTCCGCTACTGTGATTTGATTCAGTAGTTCATTTTCAAGCTCTTAAATGCTTGGATTTCTTTACAGTTATATTACAGTTACATAACATGTAGAAGACAATGAAATTTAAAGCTAAAGAACAAATACAGCAAGAACAAGGCTGCCCATACCTGCAGCCCTGCTAGTGACATTGAATCAGTCACAACTGAACACGTAATTGGCAACATCCAGCTAGAATATTCACTATATTGTGGATTCTCAGCTTAAATTAAAATTAATCATGCATTAGGTGTTATCATCTATGAATTGCTCCAATAAACCCCCAAATATTAAGAGGCATTATGAACATATTCAAAATTAAGTTCTCTGTTCTCCTGGGTTAAAAAGCAGAAAAACAATGTTCCAAGATGTTTCAAGTACTAAAGCAAATCTCTGAAGCACAGAAGTTAACAAAAACCAACTATTTTAAAAGCTCCTTCCCATCATCACGACTTTATCTGACATCAATTCCATTTGTATTTTGCAGAAGGCAACACTACACTCCCACTCATTCCCGGGCAGGGGAGGCAGCAGGGAAAGGGGCCATAAATAGGTCTGAAATCAAGCTTAATAGAGAGAGAAAAAAAAACAAAAAAAACCCACAAGACTCAAGGGTAATATTTTATTAGAAGCAATGCAATTTGGGCAAGGGAGGAGGAGAGTAAGGAGCTTACAACGCCCGTTGCAGTCTCAGCTGTCACAGGGCTGCTGTGCTGAATGACTGCCAAGACTTGCTATTCATTTCCTCATGACATTTTCCTTCATGTCAACAAGTAGACCAGTTACACAGTTAGTGGGTATAAAAGCATTGACTTCAGTAGAAAGCTTTATTTCACCCTTCTTTCCATCATTTTCTCTGTGGCTGAGATTAGACTCCAGAGGTGCAGCAATGGGTAATTGGGAGGGAAGGGGTACAAAACAGCTTTGACAAGAAGAATCCTGGAGATGAGCCATCACAAGTTTCAGCCACTTGTACACAGTATCACAACTTACTGCTCCACATAGATTTCACTCCTGAATAACTGATTCAAAGGGAGTAACAGGCTAGAGTAACATAAAGTACTTTCTGAAAGAAAAGCCAACTGCAGGGCATTTCACAGCATTTAGAGCCCAATGCCAGTCTCTGAAGGGATAGATACACTCCAGCTGCGATCATAGTCTAGAGGGAAACACCAGTTGCATAGATTTGTAGACCAGAAAGGGCTTTTGCTAAAGTAAATTAAAATGAACTTTTACAGAGACTTAGTGCACCAGCAGTCTTTGGAGCTTTCACAGTTTAATACTTCCCTTTAACAGTATTTTAAACTCTCCTCCTGTTGATCCTACCTCTGAGATCCAGTACTGCCTATGCAAAAATCAGAAGCAGAGGCAGAACCCTGTAACTGTGGTTAGGAGAGTCTCATGGATGCATGTGACCACACATTTCAAACCAGAAACATGTCATCTAGCAATCAAATGCAAGTAAAAGGCCATCACTGCCAGCCAACCTGAGAATGAGTGCCATCACTGAGGGCAAGTAACAGCATGGCAACAAGCCACCACATACAGAAGTGCATTATAGGTAGCATCAAAGAAGAGGTGGAGCAAGCAGGAATTTGTGAGGAGAATTTACAGCACAGACAGTAAATCAAAAGGGAAACACACACACACACACACACCCCGTTAGCCTCCTATGAATCAGGGAGGTTGAGGGAAAGCAGCATGTTTACAGAAAGACATACACGACATGAACCTTGAAAAAGCAGCCACTTACCAAAATTTATAGCCTACAGAATTTTACTATGTGGTAAATTACATTCCTCATAAGAGATTCAATTGTGCACATATGTATGCAGGATTGAGATTCACAATGCAGATATACTCCTGTGTATGTACACTAACTTATATGTGCCCCATTGAGTTTGAAGATTTGAAATACACTGCTGCAGAGCCTGATGTCTACAATCCCACTAGCACTTCAGAAAGAGCTTGCAAGCTAGAAACTTACATATCTATTATCCAATCATTTTATAGAATGTTTTCTCTTCCTTCGATAAGCACCTTCCAGTCATCTTGTCATATAAAAAATATGCATCTGCTTTGAATAGATATTTGATGAAGTTATTCCTTGTAAAAGAGCATCTGTTTATGTTTACATTGCATTAAATATTTAAACAACTTGTTATGAAAAAGCACTTAAAAAAATCTTTCTAAAGATGAATAGATTTTTCCATATCTTTTCTTCTTAAGCTCTTCCCAGCAAGAACTATTAAAACTGAATTGCTTATACTGCTATACCAGAGTACATTTCTTGTAAGGGTACACAGATAGGTGAATAATGTAGTGGAAAACCACAAAATTGTAAAGCAGACTCAAGACTAGGAAATTCTCCTTCCCCATACTAATAACCTTTATGCCTATACCATCTGCAGACAACACAGGCTACATCTGACCATCAGTCAAAGTCTGAACTGCACTCACATAGGCCCATAAGTAGTAGAGGGCTCCAGCTCATCATTGCCACAAGTCAGGCTACCTGGGTTTAGTGTACAACCAACTAGGTTTTAAATTACAGTACAAAGTGACAATAATCTGAATGACGTTCTGACTAAAGAGACAACAATAAAATTAATCTCTACTATCCCTTTCTTATCAATTGCTTTCCAGTCAATTCTTATGGATGCAGGAGCAGAATTTAACCTGAAGTATTTGGATTTGCCTTTAATAGCTTCCAACAGAGAATGGGCAAGTACACATGAAGCTTAAGATCATCACTTACAACAGCTCTGAATGAAAGTGGTTTTTGGGGGGATTTTGGTGTTGTTGATTGTTTTTAGAAAGGTAGCTTGACAGGGTTTGCTTCCTCATTGTAGCACTGACCATTAAAACTGTATAGTAGCTGTTCAAGTCTCATGCTTAATTTGAATATATTCAAAAGCTGCAATACAGAAAGGGTCAAAAACTCCAGTACCTCCCCCAAAACATACTCTAAGCCTTTAAACACATATATACCATTTGACACAGTCCAAGAGTCTCAGATCTTTTGCTTTAAAGGAATGGTCTCAAAAAGCTTTACTCACAGCATGCTGACATTTTAATATTTACTCCACAAATCTCAACAAGAGAATATAAAAGTAAAAATAAACCTTAAAAAGCCTTATCCTCTAATCAAATTACTCACATGCTTCAATTAAGCTAAATATGTCACCTACTAAAGGAGCATTCATGAAGTATCAGCCTTTTATGATCTCAAAAAGGCCAGCTACTCCTCAAGAGGCCAATCACAAGCAACCTATATTGTTTATTTCTAAAATGAAGAAGGTCAATAGTTTACAATTTTCCACAGAGTATTTTCACTTTGCAAAACTTATTTTTCCATTTTTTCTTTTATACCATGGAAAATTACTACTACATATATCTTCTGGTATGAATGGTCTTGTGAAACAGCAAGGATCCAATTTTCTTAACATTACCTTCTGCTTTCAAGATCCCAACCTTCAGTAGATGTTTGGGCAATTCAGCAAAGTCCTTGATATAGAGATAACCTTTAATGAGCATGGCTTGAAGGGATTCGGGTTTGTAACTTTTGAGAATGGTGCTGATGCAGACAGGGCCAGGGAGAAATTACATGGCATCGTGGTAGTAGGCCATAAAATCGAGGTTAACAGCTCCACTGCACAAGTGATGACCAATAAGAAGATGGTCACACCTTATGCAAATGGTTGGAAGTTGAGTCCTGTGGCTGGAGCAGTGTACGGCCCCGAGTTACATGCAGCATCCAGCTTTCAAGTAGATGTCTTTCTAGGCAATGACACCGCAATGCCTCTGTCAGGAAGGGGTGGGGGTATTAACATGTACATTCCTTTAATCTTTCCAGGCTTCCTCTATCCAGCTGCAGCTACTACAGCAGCTGCATTTCAGGGAGCCCATCCGAGGGGCCAAAGAAGGGCAGTGTATAGGGCAGTCCAGGCGGTACCTCCCACAGCCATCCTTGCCTACTCAAGTGTGGTTTACCAGGATAGGTTTTACAGGGCTGACCTCTATGGTGGACACACAGCCTACAGATATGCACAGACTGCTACTGCAACAGCAACCACAGCCACTGCAGCAGCTTACAACAATGGTTTTTTCTTTAAAGTAAAAAATTTCAAAAGCACCTCAAATACCATCTGCAGTTTTGGGCCCCTCATTACAAGACAGACATGAAGGTGTTTGACCATGTCCACAGAAGAGCAATAAAGCTGGTGAAGGGTCTGGAGAACAGGTCTTATGAGGAGCAGCTGAGGGAACTAGGGTTGTTTAGTCTGGAATACTAAACTCTTCCACAGCTACAGCGAGTTGATGACACCTACCATTAACTGGTTATATAACCATTTAAGGAGGGTTAGTATCATAATCTGCTGTGAAATTTGACAGCAGGAGATGTGGTTCTGCAAATATTAATTTACAAATTTACCTTTTTTAAACCAAGGTGGTTTATGGTCTTCAAATTTTTATACAATTAAATTACAGCTCCATGTATCTGTTGAACATTGAGACAGTTTAGGCTGACATTCATTGCTGCAGTATCACCAGCAACTATTCCCCCCTGCCTTTTTCTGAATGGTCAGATTCAAGACTCTAGAAGTTGGTGTATTCTTTGCATGTTACAGAGCAATCCATGATGCTACAATGCCACATCTTATGCATGTACTTCCAAATTTTTCAACTCCTTTCTCCAGCTTTTTGGGTCACTTGCATAAAGTCCACCTCCATTTTTTGGAAGTGTTCACTTTTCTGTTCCGGGGATCTACAGATTATACAACCCTTACTCTACTCCTTCATATAGCATTGTTAAAATCATGAATATATTGCCTGATGAAGAAGGCCAGGACACTTCGTGTAGAACTAGACAGGATGCAGGCTTCTGCAGAACTTCTCATGTTGTTCAACTGAGATTGCTCACTTCAGCTCAACCCCCCCTTCCACCTCCCAAGGGGGCTGCCACTACTAATATTTGCTAGGGCATTGCTAAAGGCCACATTAATAAGTCACTTTACTCCTGCAAGCATTACAAAAATTGGGCAAGGCTTAACTTAAGAATGTGGTATCTCCACTACCAATCCAAAATATTGAAGTAAAACAAAACAGAAGGCAAAGTAACAGACACTGATTGAGCCTTATTTTTCAGCTTCCATAGTGTATGATGAAGGTGAGATTCTTCCTTATTGTTCTTTACAAAAAGCAGGGATTCAGCCAAAGTATTTCAATGACAGGGCTTCAAAAAAAAAAAAAAACCCACAAAAATCTCATGAGGATAATGGTTTGCCCCGCTGAAAGAAAGCCCCTTTTCTGTGCTACATCTTCCATGTTTCAGGACATCTTGTCTCCTCTGCAGTTCACTAGCCAGTTATATATTGATTGTATTGTACTAAAAAATGCAGCTATGATGTTGAGATGTATTGGTGGGGAAAAAAGCTACCAAAACACAAACACATTCCCAAAGCACTATCAAGTGCCATTTTTCAAATTTCATAGAGTGGGAAAACAGACAGCAGTACTTGCTCGATCCCTAGGAGATGAGAGCCAGCCTGGGAAGGAAACCATAGATCCCCACACTCATCTTGCTGCTGCTATCATCACACTTTCTGTCTGTGGCATTTTCTTCTCAGTACAGAAGCCTACATCCAGAGGTATGCAAGAGGGAAATGCAGCTACAAAGAGGCAGTGTCCAGAGGGAAAACACTGCTAAAAAGCTTTGGGTCTTTTCTCAGATGCCTCAGCCTCTACTTCAGTATAGTATACCTCAGGGTTAGATGGCTATATGTAAGATCTTTCCTAGTCTTGGTTGCTGTACAGACTGGCACACAGAATCCAGAGTGTGGGAAGAACACAGAAGCAGATTCATCTCCAAGGTACACTCCTGAGCTATGGCTTTCAGCCTTGCATGGTTTTTATGCACAGGCACACTTTTTTCCACACAGCTTTTGTTGCCTTTCAGTTCATCCAGGCTTTGTACTTTGTTCGTCACTTGACTAAATAAGCTACATATGCACTGAAGCCAAGTCAATGCAATTTGTTTCACAACAACCCTGTAAAGGGATATCCTCATTCCAGTCACACTCATGTCTGCATGAAATGCCTGTGAAGTAATTTTCTACACAGGTAAACTTCTACGGGGAAATAAAAAAAAAGCAGGTTTAATTCCAGTGCTGGTTTGAGGATCTGATTGGATTTAAATGATTTATCACTTGAAGTTCTGAAAACAAAAATACACCAAGTTCCTCTTTACTTTGACACTTGTTCCGTAAACTGCTGCCAGCAGCATTTTAATTGAATTACATTAAAATAATTAATAAGGAATCTGAAGTGAAATTAAACTTTTCTTTTTCTTCCCCAGTGAGCATATGTATATATCATACATACCTGAGACAGGAGAGCACTATATATTCCTTCCCATCCAGTCACTGTCAATTATCATACTATACCTTTCTCTCCACAAGTTTTCTACCTATCTAGGTAGAAGTAGATAGGATACACTCATTCTAGTAGTATTTAGCAGCTATAGCTTCAGAGGACAAGAACTTTTTTAAAACTAATATAGCACTCCAACAATAGCACCATCCACCACACATTTGTGGTGGTATATACAAAGAATACATTTGTCTATTTTAAGTCTTCATCTCTCTTATTAACAGTACTCTGGCAACAAACCACAGCCAGAGCATTTGCAACAAGCAAGCAAGCCTCTCCCTTCTCTACTAGAATCTCACTTACTAGAATACCCAACCACCCACTACTTTCAATCACTCGGGTACTACTATATACCATAGTTTTTCTTTTACAATACAATATTATTCACATAGCGTTCCACTCCCAGAAGTGCCAACAGCTACTATCATGCTATATTTGGGACACTGTCTAGCAACTAGGGTTAACAGGTCAAGTGCTTAGCTTACAGTTCAGGCTGCTGGTAGGCACACTAGGCAAGAGCAGTCTGTGCTAAAGTTGTAACTTCATTCATAAACATTGTTAACTCCAGCAAGTTGCATCAGGTTCTGACAGGACCCTCAACTCCATATGATGGAGCTGCAAGTCAAGCTCTGGGGTACACAGCACTGGCACATGCACCCTGGAAACAGGTGCATCTGCTGAAGCATCCTCTGAAGTCAGTGGAAAGCCTGCTCAGGAGATCAGGTTCAGTCAGAGTGTCAACATGAGGTAAAGTTGGATTTGATCAAAGAGTAGCCATCCACATTTGAAATATAATGCAGGTTCATCTTGCTCCATTACAAGTAGATTAACAGTAGTTAATCCACACTGCAAAGTCAGAACTGCAACATATCATACTGCAACGGCCAGAAAACAAAGCCTTTCTCTCACAGTCTGGGAAGCAAAGAGAGGCCTTCTGGGTTGTTTTTTTTTTTTTTTTTTGCACTTGGAACCTGAAGGTTTTCAGGGATTTTCTGTAGACCTATATTGAGTAGAAGGTTCCCCATCAGTCCCTGTTATGATGTGTACTGGCAAGCAATCCCAGGTTTAGCTAAAGCTGGGCTTTCCATTCCACAGCTCCAATTCTTGAACTTTACTTTTCTTACTTAAAAGAACATTTGTTACTGCAAAAGTTACTTCAACTGCAGATAGAATATGAAAGAAGAATCCTTTCTGCCAGCTGTAAAAGAGGTACTTATGAAAGCCAAAGCATGAGTTTTAAATACAATATCACTGTAGTTTGATTGACATACAGCCTTACCTGTTTAGGAAGCTAGAAAGTATAACATTTTGGAACACAAGAGCATTAGGCTTATCTTTCATAACAAAGCTGGGATTTCAGTGTTTATACAGATTCATACTTCAAAACATCCCCTTTCATTACTCTAACTTTGTTTTGCAAATTATTCATTACATATTTCAGGAAGTGAATAGTTCAAAAGACTCCGAAGTATTTCTCAAATTACAACAGCTACAAGTATGAAAGCTATTGTTAGCAACAAGTAAGCAGAAAAAAATTGTTTTAAAAAGGCTAGCCACAAAAATAGCATTTTCATAAAACAAGTCTACAGCTTTTAAAACTATTCTGGATTTGCAGAAGCTTTAAACTCTTCCTGGTGAATGCTTATGTTTTGAATATGAATTAGTTGACTGCAGTAGTCATGTGTCTATGCACTGTACCTTCTCTTCTTTCCCATGACAGATGATTGAAATCCTGACATACCACATCACTAAGAACTTTCCAGCAGAATTTTTTACATAAGTCTAAATGAGTCATTCAGGGTTTTTTTTTTTAGAGCAAATTTCTAAGGACAGGAAAAAATCTACTGTAGCTGATTTTTCCCTAAAGTAACCTGAGGGAGTTTGTATTAAGAGTTTAAATAATGGAACTGGCTTTGGTATTCCATTCCAGTTGCTAATTTATTATCTGGAGAAAGTCACATGAGCCTTGAAAGAAATCTTGATGAAAAGGGATCTGTCTCAGCTGCATGGGGTTTAATTGACTTCTCAGTCTTGCAAGAAGAATGCATTATATTATCTATGCCTCTGTTTAACCATCAGCCAAATGGCAGTCATCATGATGAATTAATTTTCTACAATGCCATGCAAATCATAACCTCACACTCCTTTTGTGGACTTATTTCTCTCTTTAGCAGGACACCTCGTAGAAAGACA